GAAAAACAGATAGCTCCCATCTGGTTGTTCACTCCCCAAATGCCCTCAACTACCAGGGCTGCAAGGATCCAAGTACTTGACCCAACACCATGACTTTCCAGGATGCACAAGAGCAAGAAAGCAGAATCTGGAGCTAAGCCAGGATCAAATCCAAGCACTCTGATATGGGATGTAAGTATCCCAAATAATGTACTATCTGCTGTGCCATATGCTCATCAGAACAAGAATTTTAAACAAGCTGTTTCCCTGGTAGAAGTCAGATTTTCATCACCCAGGTGGTGCTAATTCCAGACATCTAAAGAAACCTTGGGGTGATTCAAATGGATAAAGTCAGAAAATTGGAGAAAAATTCAATATGAAATATTAGAGGAAGAGAGCACTGAGGATAATCAGTCATTCAGAAAAGCATTTAAAACCTTTAGCAAAATCAATAATAGTTCAATGAACGTCTGTGTCCAGGGAGTCCTCATGAGGCAAAGTTTCTACCTAAAGCCAAAAAGTCACATTTTTGCATTACAGAATGTTGTACACTAAATGAGTAAAGAGAACATATAGAATGGTTTTTACTCCCAAGACTAAAGCACATTTCACTGAAAATAATGTGTGCATGTCTTAATAGCTGACTGGGTATGTTGTACTGTACTGAATAAATGAGGTAGATATACCCAGTTATTCCAAGTAATGTATTTTCTGCAGAATAGTCTATGCATCCCAAGCCCAGAAAGGAAAAAGATCACTATCGGTAGGAAAGTGATGATAGAAGGAAGCTAATGAACCTGCTTGGGAACTGCCCTTAAAAAGTCTATTCCATCAGAGCAGCTCCCTTCTTGCTTCCAAGAAAATAAAGCGTCAAATACATAAGTATAATATCAGTTCAACTTCAGAGGCAGGAAGAGGGTATCAATAAAGGAATAAATTTCTTGGTTAGAACCACATTGTCCATCTTTAGGAAAGTCTAAGGACTTACATGTTGTAAAAGGGAAATTCTGAAATTCTAACGGACAGCTTCCTTTTGATTCAACCAGGGGAACCTGGAGAACAAGGCCAGGCTGGCAAACCTTGCTTAGGGGACACCAGCCAGCTCAGCTCCACAAACAAGTCAAGAGCTGGAGGCCTCCTTATGACTGGGAACCGGGAAGAGGAACCTGGGTGGGTGGCCTAAGTGGGAGCCTGGGCTTTGCAGCAGAAAGATGCTGAGATAGAACCTCCAGCCATAAGAAGCTGCAGAAGGAGGTACACACACTGCAGGGAAAGATGCCAGCCCACATCAAGACTTCATAATCACAAGTGTAAATTGGCCCAGGTGCCAGCCTAACACTATAAATAAAATGCTTGGCTTTGTTAAAGGGAATCCCTAATTATCCTCAGGACTGTGTTACAGATATACTGAAGAACACAACAAGAAACACATCAAAGCTACTGATAACAATAAAACTTAGCATATATATAGAGAGATTTGCAGTTGATAAAGTGCTTTCCTGCAAATGACTGCCCTGAGTCAAAACAACTCCAAGGATGGAAGACAGGTGGATATTTTATTATTACTGCCGTTCCCACTTTTCAGATTTACATGAAGCTAGAAATGAAATGGTAAATGAAAACTGTCCCCACTTGTGGCCACTCAGCTCATCAGTGGACCTCCCCAGGGGACACAGGCCAGGCCCCTCTCTCTGCACAAAGGAGGCAGCCCATGTTGCAGACCCTTCATGACCCCAGTCTTCACACAGACAGCCCACCCAGACACGAGTAGGCCAGATCCCACCTCAGACCCTCAGGCGTCTGTGTCCCCGAATGACTCACTCCATCTTTGGAATATTTGTGGTCAACTAATTCCAATTAAGCTTCCATTCTTATAATCCTCATAGTCCCAAAGAAAGATAATTTACCTCCCTGTTCTTAACTCCCTATTGCTCAGTCCCTTCTCTCTTTGGCCTCTCCTCTCTTTAAACCACTATGTCCTCTGGAATCTTCTTCCTTTACTTTAAAAGAATCCCACCCCCTGTAGGCTCAACATGTTCTCCCTACATTAACCTGTATTTTTCCTGTCATGTAAACAAAGCCAGGAATAACAATTTATTGGTTTATCAACACCACTTTGGAAGCACCACATTTCCTTGGTACTCATGCCACTTGACTATACCATTCTATGCCTGTCTATGTTGTATCATCCCTTACCTCTGGGTCATATTCCTTAAGACACAACCATCTTCTTCTTCCCTCAAACCCAACTTCTAAATCATCTTAGAAAATGTCATTGTCTTTGTGGGCAGTCCATCCAACAACACCTTCAACCTGTTGTTCCTGGACCTCAAGTACTTAATAACAAATATCATCTCCACTCAACTTCTACTCACCCACACTAGCAGAGTTACAACCTGAACCTTGACAACACCAAGAATAGTTAAGCAAAGCATAACTACAAATATCTCATCTCCTGATCCAGCTCCTTTCCCCTGATCTCTCAGGACCTTCTCCTACACATTCCTTCTCAAATGCAGAAGTCCCCCAGCTCCTGAGTTTTCATTTTCTCACAGTCCACCAGTCTCTCGAAACACACTACTGGCAATGAGTCATCTGAACTACCCACTCACCAACGTCCTCAAACACACTCCTCTCTCTCTCTCTCTCTCTCTCTCTCTCTCTCTCTCTCTTACACACACACACACACACACACACACAGACCTAGAGAGTTCCCAACATAGGATCAATGCTACCCTGGCACTTAAAAGGCTGAACACTCCTAAGCAAAATTTTAAAGCCATTCATATTATTCTCACAATGGTTTTTGATCTCAGGACTTCAATAAACCTCAGTCTTCTCACTTGACAAACTTGCCTACACTGCTGGGTAAGTATTTTAAACCTATTTATCTTTTTTTGTACAATTTATTTATTTATTTGAAAGTCAGAGCTACAGAGAGAAGGAGAGGCAGAGAGAGAGAGAGAGAGAGGGAGAGAGAGAGTCAGGAGCCAGGAGCTTCTTCCAGGTCTCCCACACAGGTGCAGAGGCCCAAGGAATTGGGCCATCTTCTTTCCCAGGCCATAGCAGAGAGCTGGATCAGAAGAGGAAAAGCCGGGACTCAAACCAGCGCTCACATGGGATGCCAGCACTGCAGGCAGCAGCTTTACCCGCTACACCACAGTGCTGGCCCCTCCTATCTTTATTAAGAAACTTTACCATAACATGTCCCTCCTCCAACTAGGAGTGGAGAACCTCTTTCTTCAAAGGGCATTTGAATATCTATAACATCATTCATAGACCATACAAAATTATCAACTTAAAAATTAGCCTGCAGTAGATTTATTGAATTTGGAATTCCAACTGCAGTTGCCTTGGCAACCTTATATACTAAGCAGACTGGATGTTCCCCACCCCTGGGTGTCTAAGCAAACAGCATAATTTTCTTCTTCGTTAAAAAAAAACTGATGCATTAGAGGTATGAACCAACGGCAAAGGAAGACCTTTCTCTCTGTCTCTCTCTCTCACTGTCCACTCTGCCTGTCAAAAATAAATAAATAAATAAAAATTTAAAAAAATAAAAATAAAATAGAGGTATGAGGAAAATCAAGGAAGTGATAAAACTGAACTTTTGGGGCCCGTGATGTGGCATAGCAGGTAAAGCTACCACCTGCAGTACCAGCATCCCATATGGGCTCCAGTTCAAGTCCTGGCTGCTCCTCTTCTGATCCAGCTCTCTGCTATGGCCTGGGAAAGCAGTGGAAGTTAGCCCAAGTGCTTGGGCCCTGCACCTATGTGGGAGACCTGGAAGAAGCTTCTGGCTCCTGGCTTTGGACTGGCCTAGCTTCGACCATTGTGGCCATTTGGGGAGTGAACCAGCAGGTGGAAGACTGACCTCTCTCTCTCTTTCTCTCTCTCTCTCTCTCTGCCGCTGCCTCTCTATAATTCTGCTTTTCAAATTAATAAATAAATTTTTTGGAAGAATTCTCCAGCCCACTATGCAACTGTTAAATAGTAAAGTTTTCAGGGCTCACCAGAGGCTTTCTTCTGTCTTCATATTCAGTGTACTTCATCTGCTGCTACAGATTCAGTTACTCCCTTTATGCAAGGGATTTTGGAATCCCTATTATCAGCCCAGACCTCTCTCCTAAGCACCCTGGCATTGTGCAGTGGGTTAGACTGCAGCTTATGCCACCGGCATCCCATCTGGGAGCACTGATTGGAGTAGTTACTGCTCTACTTCCCATTCAGCTTCCTACTAATGTGCCTGGGAATTCAGTGGATGATGGCTCAAGTACTTGAGCCCCTGCCACCCATGAGGGAGACCTGGCTTCAGCCTAGCCCAGACCCAGATCTTGTGGCCATTTGGGGAATGAGCCAGTGGATGGGAAGATCTATCTTTTTGTCTCTCTCTGTCACTCTGCCTTTCAAATAAATAAAAAGCACCACAAAACCATATGTTCAAAATAGACCTCTCTCTTTCTTACACACATACACACACACACACACACACACATAAAATCATTTCTGATATCTCTCTTTCAGTAAAAAACATCACCACCCAGGCACTTAAGAAAGAAAGCTGGTAGTCATCCTTGCCTCCTCCCTCTGCCTCACCCAATGCATCAACAATATCTACTAGTATTATCTCCTAACCCTCTCACAAGTCCAATGCCTTTTCCTTGTTCAAATAAAAAACAATAACCCTGTTCAAATAAGGAAGCTAAAGCAGGGAGAGGTTGAGAGATTGCACAATGTCACACAACTAGTAGGTGACAGAGCCACCTCGGACTCCCATCTGCTTGTAAAATCCATGCTTAAAATGAGAGAAAACTGCCTTACCCAGGGGAATCTTTAGAGCCAAAAATACCTCTAAGAAACACACACTCAACTTCAAGATGTCCCAGAATTCAAGAGAAGCATGCTTGGAGCCATAAAAGAAAGTGTCTTTCTCATCTGACTGTAGTAGGAGCCGTCAAATCATGAGTGACACAGCCCCACAGCTCCAGCTCTGAAAAAAAAAAAAAAAAAAAAAAGAGAGAGAGAGAGAGAGAGAGAATAATGATTTCAACAGAGCCAGGGTCAAACATGATGCCAACCTAAGTTTGCCTCAGATAGACACAAACTACTCCTTATCCAATAACAGTGAGACATATGAATCTTTGTAACCAAGTTTGATTATGCATATTAAACATAATTCTGAATAAGGATTAACAAATGATCCATGTTTGTAATTAATAGGCTTGGTTGTATATTTTTTAGAATTTTTTATGTATTTTTTTATTTGAGAAAAAAAAAAGAGAGACAAGGAAGGACCCAGAGTTCCCATCTGCTTGCTCATCCCCAAAATGCCTATGATGGCCAGGCTGAAGTCAGGAGCTGGAAACTCAATTCAAGTCTCCCACATAGATGACAGGGACCCAACTGCTTCAACTATCAGCTGCTAGCTAGGGTGTTCATTAGCAGGAAGCTGGAATCAAGAGCAGAAGCCAAGACTTGAATCGAGGAGCTCAATTGGGCATCCCAAGCAACATCTTAACTGCCCACTTCTTGATCACCTGCTTTTTTAAACTTTTTACTTTTTTAAGATTTATTTATCCTATTTGAAAGGCAAAGTTGTGGGGTGGGGACAGAGAGAGAAAGAGAAATCCATCTCCCTTATGCAGGTTCACTCCCCAAATGGCCACAACTGCCAGGGCTGGGCCAGGTCAAAGCCAGGAACCAGAAGCTTCATCCACCTCTCCCATATGGGTGACAGGGGCTCAAGTACTTGCGCCATCTTCCACTGTTTTCCAAGGCACATTAGCAGGGAGTTGATACAGAAGTAGAGCAGCCAGAACTCGAATCTGCACCTACATGGAATACTGGTGTAGGAGCTGGCAGTTTAACCTGCTAGATTACAGTGCTGGCCCAAAGTTCTTTATTTTTTTACTCATGCTGTTCACCCCTCACTTCCATATTAATACAGAATTAATCAGAGTTAAAAATACAAATGAAAAAATTGAGTTTATATATTTATCATTTTCCTTTTTGGCTAGTAAAGAGTATCTTTAGACAATGGGATTGTTGTCCCCAGAGTTCCAGAAGTGGAAGGCCAGGGGAAGAAGCTGCACACTGAGTCAATATCCACAGTGATCATAGATGCCATCTGCCAAATATTCCAAATTCTCCCCCAACCCTGGTTGGATAGGACTGCCAGCCAGTTATAAGAAAAAGGAATGCACTTCATCTCCAGACCAAACGGTCATCACCAGTACAAGCCTCTCCAAAGCTTTTTTTTTTTCTTACTTTATGGTGTAATGACCAAAAAGTGGCTATTCCATCCATCTGAATTCCTAAGTGACTTCAGGAAGCAGCCCTCCCCTCTGTGCAGACCATGGATAAACATGTGTGAGAACACGCCAGTGTTTCATAAGCCACTCAAATTCTGAGTTTATTTGCTATCACAGCATAACCTGGTTTATCATGACACATTCAACCTCTTTCTATTTACATTTTGGATTTTGTAGTATGCTCACTATCAAAGCCAGAAAGAAGATTCAAATGGCCACCAAGTAGAGTCCTGCTCCTGGAAAATATTACCAATAATTCCATTTGTCCTCTTGTTGGGTTCAAGTTTCTCCTTGGTTTCTCTGAAGGTTTTCACTAGGGGGGCAGGAAGAGGAGAATGGAGAAGAATGAATGAAAAAGGAAAAAAAAGAATGGAAATTTGTCAACACCTCCCAAAATGAAGTTACTCTGAAAATCACCTAGGCATAGACCATGAAGCTCACAGAGATGATATTAAAGGATCTATTTTCAATATTGTATCTTCTTTCTAGAACTATATCTTTATGTCTTCCTGAATGAGGACAGCCAAAAGATATTTGCACTAGAAGCTGCACCTACCTCAATATAATGGCTCAGAATTTTAACTTTGGGACAGGCAATGTGGTGTGGCAGGTAAAGCTGCCACCTGTGGTGCTGGCATCCCATATGGGTGCCGGTTCAAGTCCCAGCTGCTCCACTTCTGATCCAGCTCTCTGCTTATGGCCCCTGAACCCGAGTGGGAGACTCAGAAGAAGCTTCTGGCTCCTGGGTATGGATTGGCCCAGTTCCAGCCATTATGGCCATTTGGGGAGAGAATCAGCAGATGGAAGATCTCTCTCTCTCTCTCTCTCTCTCTCTCTCTGTTTCTGTCTGTGTCTCTCTGCCTCTGCCTCCGCCTCCACCTCCGCCTCCACCTCTGCCTCTCTGTAATTCTGCCTTTCAAATAAAATAAATAAATCTTTTTAAAAAAGTCTCATGAAATCATAAAAAAGATAGATGTGACAAAAGCAATCAACATCTGTATAGAACTGATAAACATGCATGATTCAGAAGAAATTTCAGAACTTAAATCTGGAGAAGGAAGCCAGCACCCCTTTGGAACCATGAATGTTGTCCGGACTCCGTCTGTTGCTCAGATTGGAATTTCAGTGGAACTGTTGGACAGCTTGGCTCAGCAGACTCCAGTAGGCAATGCTGCTGTTCCTCAGTTGACTCATTCACTCAGTTCACACAAAAAATGTTGGACAACTTCTACAATTTTGCTTTATCATTTGCTGTCTCTCGGGCCCAGATGACACCAAGTCCATCTGAAATGTTCATTCCAGCAAATGTGGTTCTGAAATGGTATGAGAACTTTCAAAAGCAACTAACACAGAATCCTCTCTTTTGGAAAACATAATTTGAATAAAATACTATATGATCCTGAAACTTGTCATGTTTGGAAGATGACTCCATTTGAAAGCACAAAGACAAGAGAATCATGAAGCCTAAGTGTAAAAACTGCCTAGTGACTGTGAAACTTAATTAAAAATCTTTGTAAAAAATTAAAAACATTTTAAAATAAGAATACCTTCATCATTAATGACTTTTTTTCCCTTAAGCTTAGAATTCTACTCAGAGGCAAAATTTTGCTTTGGCCATCATTCATTGTTTACTTAGAAAAAAAGCCACTCAACCTAGTAGAGTGCCAAATGCCATTGCATATGTAATGATACATTTATTTTTACAGTGGTTTGCTGGAGTAGTTAACTTTAAATCAATCATCTCAAAATTAGGAGACTTTTGAAAAACACCAAATATACATTTTTAGATATGGAGAAATTCTTTTGCAGGACTATTTAAGGTTGCAAGTTTTGTCACAACAGGCTAGCTGTCAGTTTTTATATCTGCAGTTTCATACATTTCTATTTGTTTAATGAAATTGCCATGGTTAAAACTGATTAACTTTAATACTGATAACATTACTAGGCATTTTTATTTAAAATATTGGGTTCATTACTTTTGCATATGGAGATAAAACCTTTATGTCTCATTTAAAAGGTAATTTGTTGATTGATTTGTACTGGTGAAGCCCATTGGCCAAAGACCAACAGGATTTCACCTGCAAAGCTAGGTTTATTAGCCTGCTGCTGAACCAAAGGAGTGTGTACACCAGAGGAACAATGAAGTATCCCCAAAGAGAAGGGTACACGCAAGTATAGGAGTTTGGGGCCTGTAGTTAGTTTTAGATTGCCTGGGTAGATACTGGTGAAAATTTGGAAGCTAGAGGTTGCTGGTGCAGTGCTTTTAGAACACATAAGCCTGTGCAGAGTTACTTGCTGAGTCAGTTAGTGGTCTTGCTTTGAAACATACGGATCTAGTTGAGCTAGTGTTGAGAGTTTGAGCTTAGGTAGTTTCTTGCATTGTCAAAGTTTGGTTAGACTTAAGCATTTTGCATGTTGTTCTCAGTCCTTTTCTTGTCAAAGGATAGATCGTTATCTTCTGAAGCTGTGATTAACCCAGATTTGTATTGCTATTTACTAGACTATGATTGTGTGTCAGTTTTTCAATGGTAGTGATTAGCTTCAGGTCTTGTTAATGGATGATCATTGTTGAATTATGTGACTTGACATACTAATATCAGCAATAGAAAGGGATGAAGTACTGATTCGTGCTATGACATGGATGAATCTTGAAAACGTTATGCTAAGTGAAGGAAGCCAGTTACAAAAGACCACACATCTTCATGATTCTATTTGTATAAATACCCCAAATAGGCAAATGGCAGAGACTAAACTAGATTAATGGATGCTTAATGTTTGTGAGGATTGGAAGGTAGGGATTATCTACTAATGGGTCTAAGGCTTCTTTCAGGGAGGATGAAAATGTTCTGAAATTAGATTGTAATGATGCACAACACTGAGTAAACATTGTACACTTCAAAATGGGCGAATTGTATGCGACTTACAGTTTTTTAAATAAAATGGACAAATGCTGAAAAAAATTTTAACTTAATTTTTATTAAAAGCATGAGCTTTGAAAGGTAATGATCATTATTGTTATTTTTGCTGTATAGCAAATATACAGGGATCACAACACCACCTTTTTGATCTCTGAAATTCAAACTAAAAAGTTACAAAGTCTATCCTAATTCAAGCCTTGAGTTAGAAGTCAGATAATAGAATTTTTTTTATTTTTTAAAGCTTTATTTTATTTATTTGAAATGCAGAATGACACAGAAAGAGGGAGAGATACAGATCACCCATCCACTGGCTCACTCCGCAAATGGCTACAGTGGCTAGGACTAGGCCAGAGCAAAGCCAGGAGCCCAGAACTCCACTGACCCCAGTAGAATACCTCAAGACTGATAAGGGTAAATATTCTCACCAAATGATGGGCGAAACTGCTGCCTGGAGCCAGAAACTCCATCTTTGTCGCCCACGTGGGTGGCAGAAATTAACGCAGTTGTGCCATCATGTGCTGCTTTCCAGGTGCATTAACTCCCTGTGGGATTAGAAGCAGAGTAGTCAAGACTCCAATACAGGATGAATGGAATCCCAAGTGGTAGCTTAACCTACTGTACCACAATGCCTGCCCCCTAATTAGCTTGTTTTAACTATTTCACAGTGCATGAATTTTTCAAAACATCACATTAGGTGCTATAAATACATAATTTTTTGTCAACTATGCCTTAATGAAATTAGGTTAATTTTTTAAAAATTATGTGGGAATGGCATCTGATAGAGAACATGTGAATTTAATCATAAAACAAAGAAATCAGGCTGCAAGAGTACAACAGCATGAGTTTTCACACAGGACCCTCCTGGATGTGATTGTCACTTCCATCATTGCAATTTATGAAATTCTAAACAAAATTCTTAACTTTTCTAAGACTCACTTTCTTCATCAGAAAAATAAAGAACTCTTTTTCATGATGAATCAGTGAATCACTATATTAAAAAGTGCCTGACGCAAACTGGGCTCACAATGGTTTAAAACTATTAGTGTTGACAAATTCTAAGAAATTGTGGCTTTCTAAGCATTGCCTAGTGATTACTATAAGGCTAAATTAGCAGAGGCCACTTGCTGAACACCGCTTGTGTGCCTTTTATGCTCTAGATTTGCAGACAAACATCAGTGGTTAAGAGCATGCACTCAGCATCGAGCTTCAGAGATTCCTATTTTAGCCCCATCACAGAATGACTATGTGACTTTGGCAAAACTACTTAATTTCTCTCATAAAGTCTGACTTCTTTATCTATAAAATGGAAATTATAGTAAGTATCTATTCACAGGATTATTGTGAGGATTAAATGAGCAGTACATATAAGCAGTTTATCACCAGCACATAATACGTGCACAATAAATATCAGTTAATGTTATGATTTTTATTTCCATTTTACGTATTAGGAACCTGAGCCTTAAAGAAGGTAAGCAATTTCCCTACATCACACAACTAGTCATGAGCTAACTTTCTTTTCAAAGTCAATGATGCCTAATTCCAGACTCTGTGCTTTTATACTACACCATCTCCGCTCCTGCTATACCACGTAAAAATCTTTATTTTTCTCTGGTGGCAAGCACAATTAGCTAATTACAGTCTACAAGGCATCAGGGAAAGCATATGGAATAAGAGAGAGCAATCAGGTCTGGATTAAATACATGTTCCTTTGTTTCTTCTTTTTACTCTCCATACTTGTATATTTGCATTGGAAATATTTTATCCTTCTTTATTTGAGAGGCAAGAGACAAACACAACTCCCACATGCTGCATCACTCCTCACTGTCCAAAACAGCCAAGACTGGGCCATGATCAGAGCAAGCAGTAGGGGAAATCAACCCAGATCTCCTGCACAGGTGGCAGGAACCCAATTAGTGGGGCCATCACCACTGCCTCCCGGATTTTGCAGTGCTGGAAAGCTGGAGTTAGAGTCAGAAGCCAGAGCCAGGCATCAAATCCAGACACTCTGTTGTGGGAGGCAGGTGTATGGACTGCTAGGCTAAATGCCTGCTCCTTCAAAGTTGAGTTAATAGGGAAATCCTTGAATGTTCTTGCTTCAAGCATCAGTGTACATTTGCAGTCTCTAAGAAATCTTCTGGCAGACACTTCTGGTTGAGAGTTGGAAGAAGAAGGCAAAAGAAGAGAAAAACAGATTATCATTGGTAAACATAGTCAAAGTCAAAACTTGAAGGAAGAAATAAGATTTCCACAGGCCTGAAGATCAACAAGAATTATTTACCAAGCTGCTTTGTGCAACACTTTGTAAAGTCACCTGGGACTTACAGCAAAAATGTCAGCTGTTTGATTTCCTTTATCCCCTCGTCTGTCTTCTACTATCTTCCATCTTCCAAAATGAATCATTGTTGTACGATCAATTGAAATTCAGACACAGATTCTCACAGGTCTTTATAGCTATTTTTGGAAAGACAAATAGCCTAGTGATAAAGAATGTAATTCTGTTTAGCTTCATCTTCCAGTTCCACCACATATTAACTGTATAAAAATCCTAAAGGGTTGTTTCTGTGTTAAGATTCCTACTTTCTGCACTTTCAGACCCACTTACTCACAACTAGAAAAGTTTCTGAGTGTAAGGAGATGACTTCTGCACTCAGAAGACTGGCTAAGTGTAAATAATCAACCTAAGCTCTCTTTGCCTCTAACATTTCCTCACAACACTGCAAGTCTGATAACCTTCTTAATGGTGGCACCAGTTCAGCCACATTCTGGAAGGTATTAGTTCATCAAGTACGTTGTGGAACCACCAGAATAAAAGGACACCATGAGGGAAAACGACAGGCACGCGGCTCTGTGGTCTATCGACGTAGTTGCTCATACAAGAACCTGGGAAGGGGAAGCCCCCAAAAGATTAGTCACTCTATTTTGTGTTGTAGAACTCAATGCAGGTTAAGAAGGCATGTGCCAACAAAGGAGATGGGAGAATGGCAGTATTCACTTGCTCTGGACTGAATAAACAAATGTGGGATTTGTGGACTGACTAATGTCCTGGGATAAACCAGGCAGTCAGCCAAGCTCTAGGAGTCTGGATGAAAAGACAGCAAGTCCATACTTTTCTTCATGGAAAGCACTCTGTGGGAATATTGATGTCCACAAGGGCAGCTTGGGCCTTCATCTTGCCTTAAAGATTCACCCTTATTCAGCCACAGAGATTTCTCAATGCTTCTGTAATTGAAAACCTAGATCAAGTGATAGAAGCTGAATTCCTTCTTTTTAAGATGTGATAAATAAGAGTCATCCATCTTCTTTTAGAAATGTGTTGTCATTGTCCCTTTTTAAATACCACATTACCCTGAAAATATACAATTAGGCTACTACAATGTGACTCTGATTCTATCTTTCCATTCATTCATTCACTTTATTCATTGAGTGCCACTCTATTCTAGGAAACATGTAGGGCCCCTGGATAAAACCGTAGCTGAATCAGACATATTCCATGCCCTCAGGGGGCCTGTTTGCCAACCTTAACAATTTCAAAGGCACTGGAAAGTAATGAAGTACTTAAAATTCCACTTCTCTGTTGAAGTAAACTTAAAATTTGTAAAATTTTAGTTTGCAAGGCAATAGTTCTTTCAATTAAGGTCACAATATAAGAATCCTTCCAAAAGTTTGTGGAAAACCGTGACAAAAGATAAATTTTTGTGCAAAAAAAATTTTAACTACTTGCCTAGTTTTTCATACTATGCATTTTCCGGGAACTTTCTAAAGACTTTGCATGTAAGTTTATAGAGAAGTTGGACATGAGAATAGTTTCCATTTGACCTAATCCTCATGACTTATTAGCCCTTTAGAGTCCCAGTAGGAAGCTGCCAAGCTGCAAATTCCAAGAATTAGCTTCAAGAGGCATTGTATGTAATTGCCTTGAGAAGGAAATTAGGGCAGATTAACAGAGAATTTAAGAAAGCCTTTTCACACAACTGTCTAGGAATCTGGGGTTTATGAAGTCATCAAATCAATACCACGTTTAACATATTTATGTGACTGAGTCTTGGGAGCATATGTTTGTAGGAATAAAGGTATTATAAGGTCAAGGTTTGGAAAAGGAACTTAACACCTGCTTATTTCCTCTGAAGATGGTAGAGTTAGAACAGAGAGTTATAGACTGGAGAAGAAGTGCTTCAGATTTGTAAAATAGGGAAAGAAAAGCTGAGATCAGTGATTGGGTGATAAGCACTGAGCAGACCTCACAAAATGTCTCTGTCTCCCTCAGCTCAGTGTGCCCCTTAAAGGCGCAAGATGAAGTGCACAGCCGCAAACCAGAGGAAGGCCTGCACAGGAAGTGGAGAGGCAGATGCAGCCCTATGGACTCTGAAACAGGATGAAGTCAGTCCATGTGAGGTTCAAGAAAACCACGCAGACAATATGGGCATCCAAGTGTTTCCTGAGGTCATTAACTCAGCACCACATCCTGATGTCAGACACATGGACCCATGGATGGAAAAGCTGTGAAACAGGGGACCTTTTTAAAAACCTCTCTGCTGTTTGCTTGAGCCTAGCAAGGCACACACCAGAACCCGCTAGCAAGGCACACACCAGAATGCGCTGATGTGAGTGATTTAATACACAGTATCAGTTTTCCCAGCAAAATTAGACAAGAGGCTTGACTTGACAAGCGGCAGGAAAGAGCACAAAGAGCTTCCCTAGACAATGCCAGAGAGTCTGATGCCAAAGCCTGAGGTGGTTATTAGAAAATGGTTAGCGCCTCCGACTGTGCCACTGCAGGAGCTTCACTGCCCAAAGACTGCTGCAGCCGAGTGCAGCCAAAGCAATCACTGCTCCCTTAGGAGATATCCACCAGGCGCTCCTGCTAGCATCCCTGCTGTTCGCAAAGTGGCTAGATGGATCACTGACAGTAATTACTGCTGCCAATTAAGGAGAAATTGCCAACAAGATTTCAACGCTTAGCTGGATTTCAGCCATGCTACTTCCAAGTACTCCTCTCTCCTTTGGTTACCGTTCAGCTGGGACTCCTCTGGCAGTCAAATCCTAGTGCATTTTGCCTCCATGGTCATCAGCCACTACAGAGGATAAAAAAAATTGGAAAGGGTCCGGACACCCCAGGTCTAACCTTGGCTTTTTGCCAAGTCAGGTTGTTTTCCTGTGTTCCTATTTCCATTAATTATAAAATAGGATAATATAAACCCTACTCACACTGGGTTACATAGGAGATAACAGATGAGCAGGTTGCTATAGAAGTACAGATAAGGGGCCGGCGCCGTGGCTCACTTGGTTAGTCCTCCACCTGCAGTGCCGCATCCCATATGGGATCCGGGTTCTAGTCCCAGTTGCTCCTCATCCAGTCCAGCTCTCTGCTGTGGCCCAGGAGGGCAGTGGAGGATGGCCCAGGTGCTTGGGCACCTGCACCCACATGGGGGACCAGGAAGAAGCTCCTGGCTCCTGGCTTCAGATTGGCGCAGTGCCGGCCGTGGCAGCCATTTGAGGGGTGAACCAACGGAAAAGGAAGACCTTTCTCTCTGTCTCTCTCTCTCACTATCTATATCTCTACCAGTCAGATAAATTTTAAAAACAAGTATGTGTGTATCTTAAAAAAAAAAAGTACAAATAAATGTACTTGAGAGTGTGCTATGTGTGCACATAAAATTTTTTATGCTTCCTAACTGCACAAAAATGAAGTGGAATTTTCCTGGTTAAATGATATGTACACTCAAAATATTTTAGAATAAAAATTCATACTTTTAGAGGACAGTGTCTAAAATCATACCATTTTTCTTCTCCCAGTCCTGGCCACAGAGTCCACCAAAGACTGAGTTTCATTATTGTTAGGAGGCCAGAGAAAATATTTTGAGGAAAATATATAGCTAGTGATTATTAAAGGCTTACTATAGGCCGATCAATCCACAAAGCACTCTATAGATATTATTTTGCTTATTCTTTTTTACAATCTTGTGAAGTAGGTATTCTTCAACAACAAAACCCATGATTCCTTCAAAGAAATTTATTGTTGGTGCTGAAATTCAAACTCAGGTCTTTCAGTGCCCTTGTTCTTAATCAGAGTCATATTACCTCTGTAAAGAAAGCCATGTTTCTCCTCTACTCCTACTCCAGACTTTTGCATTTTGCTTTGCTGCAAAAATTGGCTCATGTGCTCTGGCTGGTGTGTGGGCCAGTCCTTGTGTGGTCTTTTGTAAGAGCAGATGGTTACTGAGGGTTGACAAAGGGAGAGTGGTGTGAGGGAATAGTTCTAAAAGCATACTGTAGGGAAAAAAAAAAAGTGTTACTTATTAAGTCACCACACTGAACCCATAAATGTATGTAATCATGTGTCAATTAAAAAAGAAAAAATCACATTTTAAAAAACAGAATTGGTATTTCCTTTATACATAGTTGCAATAAAAACATACATAAAGATACCTAGCTTAGGGTTGAGAAAAACTATTGGGTACAGAAAAAAATAATGAAAAGAGAAGAAGGAAAAGAAAGGGGAGGAGAGGGATGAGAAAAGCAAAGCAGAGCTTGTGTAAAGACAGGAGATGAACACTCTCTTGGTTTACTTTGTATCTACTGGTGCCATGGGTTTAACTGTATAACCTGCACTATACCTTGATTACAACTCTGGAGGTGATCTGAGTCACCATTAATTTTTAGAAAAGTAATCCAGGGCTTTAAGAAGTAAAGCGGGCTATTTAAAAAGGTCTATTTCAGCACTTAATCCTAAATCTATGTGGTTTTTATTTTATTTACATTTTTTAAACCACGGGAACTTTTATTAGAAACAAATGAGCTGCAGCAAAGTGACACTCAGTGCACATGGCCAGATGGGCAAGGTGGGGAGTACAGGTGGGGTGAGGGGCCCACATAAGACCAGAGCTGATGACTGCTACAGCCTGCTTAGGCTGGAGTGCATAGGTCCAGGGCAAAATACATGGATATGCTCTGGTCCACCACCCCCTGCTGTGACATTTGTGTGGACAGGGCAGTTGCTCTTCCCACCAGCCCCCAGGCTATCCAGCCCAGCCTCAGTATTAGCAGCAGGTGCCTGTAGGGGTGAATGGCCATCCAGAGGCTGGAGACAAAAGACAAGGCACATGTGGCCATGGGAAGTGCCAGGACACAGGCAGTGCCAGGATCTGGCTAGCATCTGGGCTGGGCCTGGGAGCCCTTAGCTAAAGAAGGTCCAGGCTTGGTTGAACTTGGATGAAGCTGGGGCCTCTGCTTCTCCTCACATACAAATCACCAGGACCCTGTCTTGGGCCTGGGCCTGGGGCATCCTCACCTCCTCCTCCCCCGGTTCCATGTTCACTCTTTGCCTGCCTCTGAGGGTTGTAGGTGAACCCTGTGATGGAGCAGCTGTTGACGAAAACAATTTGTTGAAGACAATAGTTGAAGGACTAGAGAGGCTGCCATCTTCCCTCAAAGGGTCTGAGTCCATGTCTGGGTTATAGCTGTACATGTCACATCGGCCAGGCCAGTAGCCTCTGCCACCACGTGGCACAGCTGTGGCTTCGAGCCTTGCAGTCCTCCCACCCTCACGAGAACAGACTGAAATTGACGGCATTCACCAACCCAGTGAGGCCGGGCTCCCCGCTGGCCGGACGCACGGCTGCCAACGGTGCTGCAGTCACAGCCAGGCCTGGTGGAAAAGGGTCTTGCAGCCACACTGTCACTGAGGGAGCCCCTGTCTTCATATCCTGCACAGTCTGCCAGGGCTGGCGTTCTGGGATGGGGACCTCCTGGCACAACTGCTTAAACACGTGCTTGTCAGCTCCGGCCCTCTGGATCTTAGGGGTACACGCAGGACCACGGAGCACTCGGCCGCCAGGTGCAACTCAGGGGCCAGGCAGGGCACAGTGACCTCTGAAACATAGGCCTCACCTGCCGGCGACGTGAGCATCTCTGGTCCCCAGTCAGCTGCTTGCTCCGGTTCTCTAACAGTTTCCTGTCCTCGGGGAGCGGGCGTTGCTCCCGAGGGACCAGTGCTGCCTGCCCCGGCCGGCCGCCCGTCCTCGGTGCCGGCTGGAAGGCGGGACACGCTCAGCGCAGCGCGGGAGCCTCGGGACCGGAGGGCGCGCGGCGGCCTCGGCGCAAACCGCACGATATCCGGGGGAAGCTCCGCCCCTACGTCCCTGCACTTGGGGCTCTGGCGCCCATCTGGGTCGCCACCGCGACTGAGCCTCACCCCCGGCGCAGCGCCCCCTCTCGCTCCGCCCTGCTGCCGAGCGCCACAGAGGGCCCCAGCGAACCAGCGACCTCCGCCGCCCCCAACCGGACGACAGCAAGCGTCCGTGAGGCCCGGCCTCACGCCTCTGAAATCCTGTAGATTTTAACATCCCCTTTCTCCTTCATTGTACCTTATGATCTGTCTCTCCACGCTGGTGCTCTTCTGATGTGTGCTTTCCAGTTCTAAGCACAGATAACACGTAGCTGGTGGCAAGAAATAGACATCTTTTCTTTGAACCCTGCTTTTGAATCAGAGTGAGGCTTATTCCTCTCATGAAAAGGGAGACTGGCTGTAGGAGAAAGAAGAGGCCAATGTTAATTTGGCTATCATCTAAACACAGCAGATACTTCTACCCCTTTTCATAGACCCTTTTGTCACCTTGGGTAGTATGTGGAGTTGAGAAACACATTGAATATGGTATACCTGTAATCAATAAACAATGCAGGCATAGCGGATTCAGCCCCAGCCTCTGAGGCAGGCATCCTACATGGACGCAGGTTTGAATCCCCCGATTCCAATCCAGCTCCCTGCTAATGCGCCTGGGAAAACAGCGGAAGATGGCCCAAGTTCTTGGGCCCCTGCCACCCACATGGGAGACGGGGAGGAAGCTCCTGGCTCCTGGTTTCCAACCCGCCCAGCTGCTGTGGTTGCATCCATCTAGAGAGTGAACCAGCAGACCTCTGTGTAACTCTGCCTCTCAAATAACTAAACAAGTCTTAATAAATAAACAAACAAACAATACAGACACAGTGTTGGGTGCTGGAGGTTGGGCCACAGCTTGAGATGCCCAAGTTCCACAGCACAGTGCTGGTTGTGTCCTGGCTACTCTGCTTTCCATACAGCTGCAGACTATTACACCTGAGAAACAGCAGGCAACAGCTCAAGTACTTGAGTCCCTGCTGGAGTTTCTGGCTCCTGGCTTTGTCCTGACCCAGGCTCAGTTGTTGCAGCCATTTAAAGAATTAACTGGCCCAGTGCTGTGGCTCAGTAGGCTAATACTCAGCCTGTGGTGCCGGCATCCCCTATGGGCGCCGGTTCTAGTCCTGGCTGCTCCTCTTCCAGTCCAGCTCTCTGCTGTGGCTCTGGAAGGCAGTGGAGAATGGCCTAGGTGCTTGGGTCCTGCACCCTCGTGGGAGACCAGGAAGAAGCTCCTGGCTCCTGGCTTCGGATCAGCACAGCTCCTGCCATTGCGGCTATTTGGGGAGTGAGCCAGCAGACGGAAGACCTTTCTCTGTCTCTCCCTCTCACTGTAACTCTACCTCTCAAATAAATAAATAATCTAAAAAAAAAAATTAACCCACAGATTAAATCCATCCCTATCACTCCAGATTTCAAATAAATTAATAAATCTTTTTAAACAAACAGAATACAATAGTTTCACCTTTCAATTCTAGTACATGTGCCTAGTTTAAACCTATATAGCAAATCCTGCTGGCTTTTTGTCTCTTGCAGCAACTCTCTCTACACACAGCAAGGTCTCTATGACAACCTCCCCAGTTCCTTGAGGGGGCATTTTGGGTAATCCAAGGGTCAAGGACATGGGTTCAAATTCTGGCTCCATCACTGATGTGGTCTTGGATAGACAAGTTATTTTATTTTGTTTTCTCAATAACTAAAATGGTAATTTATCTCATGGAGTTGCTATTAAAGTCAAGCGAAATAATATGCATAAATTTCCTAGTGCAGTACCTAAGACATATTGGGAGACAATGTATTTTTCTTAAATTATTGGTATGACTGGTGTGATCTAACTAAATAAACTGTCAGATGGACAAATTACAGTGCTTTGAGGTAGTTTTCAGATCTAGGGAATCATTCTAATGGCTTCCATTTGCTAGAGAGAAATTCTCTTAGAGGAAAAGGAGCTTTGAAAGAAACTTGTCACTTTCTCAAGGGAACTGAGATGCCAGGATGTTTCAAATTCTAAGTTCAAATTCTAAGTCTGGTGCAAACAAAACTATTCCCTATTTAATATTTAACATTGCCAGTGAATTCATTTTGCGTCCAATTTGTGAGACTATAATGTAATATAATACTCTTGTATGTATATGTGAAATATTTAACAAATGTGCATGTTGATTTATGAGCATTTTACAGAGCTGTAACTATGATATTGAGAAATTTGCATCTTGATGGAATTGTACAGTGTGGTAACTTCACTTTTATAGCTTATTGCTAAGTTTACTTGGTTTAACCAACACCAGGTTCTTGGTGAAGAACACAACACCCAGAAAAAACTTTAGACTTTACATGATCTATTTTGTGACCTGCAGTGTGGCAAAGAGCATGGACAGCCTGTTTATTTCACCACTTCCTCCATCGGCACCACAACTACCACTGGCACTTAACCATTACTGCTCCTCCCACCTGTTCTGCTTTCTAAGCACCAACGGTTGAAAAACTTGGCCAGTTTATGAAGTCCAGCTACTTGGGCATTTGCTGAGATAGTGTTGTGCGTTACCATTGATAAGGGACTTGCCAAAAAGCAGGAGGATATAGTGCTGAAACTCTGGATAACTACCAGAGGATTTGGCTCCACTTCCACCAGTAATTAGACTATGGAGCAGAATAAATGAACTTATCCAAGCCTCGGTTTCTACATCTATAAAATCAAAACAGATGCAAAACAGCAGCTACACTACTTCATTAGATTAGCTGTTTTTATTGGTGTGATATACAATAAACAATCAGCAGTGGTAACTATTCTATGCAATACAAAAACATTCACTGTCACCTGAGGATGCTACTCCTATTTTTCTCCTTTTCCATCTACCTATTTTCTCTTTTCACTTTAATTCTACTATATTGTTTGTGCTTGTAAAATCAAATTTTTGGTAGAGGGAGACTAGATATTAAGGAACACACACACACACACACACACACAAATAATATTTTCCAAGAGAAACAAAAGTCCTGGAACAAATATTGATCTTGTGAAATGTATACCAGGTGAAAATGGATCACCGATCACTGTCCAACCTGGATACAGCATGGCATTCTCAGGAGAGTGTCTGGGGTTGTGGCAGGGCCCTAGTGAAACATATTCAGGAACCTTTTGCTTTCAAACCTTTTTTCCCAGCCAAGATGAAAAATGTGGGTTAAGCATTTCCTCTGTAACTGACTCATTTGGCAGAAAAAGAAGTCCAGATGCCAAGAGGAATAGAAAAAAAAAAAAAAACTGGTGGGGAAAGAGACACAGGAAGGAGGGGGAGGTAGCAGAAACATGTCGTATTTCATCAAGCTATAAAAACCGGATCCGGAAGATTAAAAAAGAGGATACATTGACCTTCACAGGTGAAAACCAGGCTCTGGAAATGCACTTCTTAAAGTGAACTTCACACCAAAGAGTGTTAATAGGCAAAGTTTGGGGTGGGGGGAGGTTGGTGTGTGTGTGTGTGTGTTTTTTTAACAGATCGTGCTACAACTCCATTATCTTCTTGGCAATAGCAAAAACTGTTTATCATTAGACACAGGAAAGCCAAGGAGGTAAAACCTCCAAAACGTTCAGACTTAAGTATTCTAACAGACCCAAAGCTACACTGTAATTAGACTATGGTGAAAAGTAATTAGAGTAATTGTCTTGTAATTTAATCATATGAAAACATCTAGTACATTTTCACCTTTATCTAAGCATTTTACACACTTTAGCTCATTTGTTCCATGACCACTGCCAAAAATAAATGTATATGTCCTACAGCTTCTGGCATTTACTAAGATGTCTAATGATCATATTTAAACACAGTCTTTATATCTTTCCAGTTTTCAAATATCTTTCTGATTTTGTCCAATTTAAAATAAGAGAGTCTTCAAAAAGTTTATTGAAAATGAATATTATAAAAAGCTCTTTGTGGATTTCAATATTTTTTGCACCAGGATGAACTTATCTGGGAGCAACCATTTAGCCCAGCAGTTGAGACACTCCTGTCCCCATCAGAGTATCTGGACGTGACTCCTGGCTTCAGCTCCTGACTCCAGCTTCCTGCCAGTGCAGCAGTGATGATTCAGGTAATCGGGTTCCTGACACGTGGGAGAACTGGATTGAGTTCCAAGTTCCTAGCTTTGGCCCTGATTCAGCTCCAGCCATGGTGGACATTTGGTGAAGAAGCCAGCTCTCTTTGTCTCTCAAATAAGTTAATTAACTTTTGAAATAAGTTTACCTTTTAATTAAATTTTTCCATGAACTTTTTGAATTACTCTCATATTTTCTTTTTTTATTTTTTTTTATTTGTTTATTTTTTGACAGGCAGAGTGGACAGTGAGAGAGAGAGACAGAGAGAAAGGTCTTCCTTTGCCGTTGGTTCACCCTCCAATGGCTGCCGCAGCTAGCACGCTGCGGCCAGTGCACCGCGCTGATCCGAAGCCAGGAGCCAGGTACTTCTCTTGGTCTCCCATAGGGTGCAGGGGCCAAGCACTTGAGCCATCCTCCACTGCACTCCCTGGCCACAGCAGAGAGCTGGCCTGGAAAAGGGGCAACCAGGACAATCCGGCGCCCCGACCGGGACTAGAACCCTGTGTGCCGGCGCCACAAGGTGGAGGATTAGCCTAGTGAGCCGCGGCGCCGGCCCACTCTCATATTTTCTATGTCCTGAATACAAGAAAGTAACAGCATACTGTTCCAGTTTTCCAAGTCTGTATTATTCACCAAAATAGCTCCCAAATGTATGTGCTTAACACTTTATAAAGTAGGTAAATAGTGGAATGTTAAATGAGATTTAAGTATCTTGAAAGTTTATGCCAAAGGAGAACAAAAAGACAGATTTGTAGAATACATTATATCGTTTAATCAAAAAACAATATTGGGACATCAGTGTGGTGGTACAGAGGAGAAGCTGCACTTGAGATGGCAGTATCCCATATCAGAGTGCCAGGTCAAGCCCTGGCTCGTCCAGTTCACATCCAGATTCCTGCTAATGTGCCTGAGAAGGTAACAGAAGATGGCCTACCTCAGTACCTCAGCCCTGACACTCTTGTAGGAGACCCAGATGGAGTTCTCGGTTCCTGGCTTTGGTCTGGCCCAGACCCGGCTGTTGTGGCCATTTGAGGAGTGAATCAGCATATAAAAGATTCTCTCTCTATTTTTCTCCCTCTATCTCTGTTTATCAGCCTTTTTAAGAGAGAAAGAAATCTTTAAAAAGCAAAAACAAAGCAATTATTGAGCATGAAGTAAGTACAAGGTGCTCTGCTAAGAACGTAAGATGAGAAACAAATAAACCATGATTGTACTGAGTTCACCATACACTGGAAGCAAAATTCAGGTACACAAACCAAAAAATACATGTAATAAACTGTATGATGAAGACGCCAATTGTGGAAACATAGGGGAACTTTTCCTAATTATTGCTGGATTTCCATTTTTTCTTCCTCTGTAAAATAAGCGAGCAGTCTTAGATCCTCAGATCCCTGCTGACTCTGATATTTTATAATATGTTTAAAATATTTATTTCACTATTTTCTTCCAGAGAGCTAGAAGATTTTTTTGTCTTTAATAAGTTAGCTACTCATGCAAGAGAATGCAAAGGCTTGTGAGCAAGTGCCTTGACTAAGCATGACAAAGATATTCACTGATCAAGTAGCAGCTAAGGAAATAAAATTATTAGTTAAAATAAGAAAATGTAGTCTGGTTTCTCCTGCTTGATCCTAGCAAAAGAAGATTCATCATTCATGGAATGGATATAATTGACACTAACATCCTTTTTCTGGGATTATTATTTTGTTTGACTAATAACAAACACATAAGAAAAAAAATTTAATCTTTCACTACCATACCCCAACTTCTATGAAATAAGCAGGTGTGAAATCTCAGCTGACCAATAAAAAGACTAACTACTAAAACACGTTATGTGTTAATTACAGCTGCTCTGGGCAAAATGAAGATAACTTCCGCTACTTCCCGGTCTTGCCTTTGTGCTCCATATTTCTGAGGTAAGTGTCTGTGAGGGTGGTTGTGAAAATGAAATACTGTTAAACAGCATATATGATGTTCTCAGTAAATAAAGCTCTTATTACCATTGCTATGGTCACTCTCATGATTTCCACATTTTATTTTCTTCTGCCATTCCTCACTGTCAAAAGTGAATCAGACCGATAGAATTTCCCAAAGTTTGATATGTGTAGTTTTGAGGGCAAAATTTAGAAATGTATACAGACAAAAGGTATTTAATTTATTGCAAATATTTTATTTATATTAAAGTATATTTAAAATCGTATAACTTGCACATCAACATATGTTGTCATTGAACAAATTTAATGAAGTTAAAATAATATATTTTCAGAAGCATAATAGTACAAGAGACCCATAATTTGAAAAAAAAAAAAACATGCAGATGATGTGTGAATAACTGAAGCATGGCCAACAATAAAATGGAGCATAAACAATCTCACTAAGGAGAGAAGAAGTGGAGTCAGATTTTCAAAGGAGTAAATTTCTCACCTGAAGAACGATAGATTCCTTAAGTGCAAATTGACTCTTCCTCTAGGCTGGTATATTAATATGTGCCAACAACTGAAAGCTGCACAAATTTGAAAAAAAAAAACACAACTGCAGGGGTATGTGTGTGTGTGTGTGTATGTGTGTGTGACTTCAGTCCGAACATTCTCCTTATTCAGAAAACAAGTCTTATAATGGCAGCAAATGTGAAAGAGCTTCATACCTTATTAAACGTCAGTGATTTCTTTTTAATTGTAAGATTTGTTTTATTTATCTGAAAGGTATATGGGGCCGGCACTGTGGTGCAGTGGGTTAACACCCTGGCCTGAAGCGCTGGCATCCCATATGGGCACCGGTTCTAATCCCAGCTGTTCCTCTTCCAATCCAGCTCTCTGCTGTGGCTTGGGAAAGCAGTAAAAGAAGGCCCAAGTCCTTGGGCCCCTGCACCCACATGGGAGACCAGGAAGAAGCTCCTGGCTCCTGGCTTCTGATCGGCACAGCTCCAGCCATTGCAGCCAATTGGGGAGTGAACCAGAGGATGGAAGACCTCTCTCTCTCTCTCTCTCTCTCTCCCCCCTCCCCCTGCCTCTCTTCTGTCTGTGTAACTCTGACTTTCAAATCAATAAATAAAAATATTAAAAAAAGAAAGTTATAATTACAGGGAAAGAGAGAAAGAGGAAGAAACAGAGAAAGAGATTCCACCCACTGGTTCAACCCCCAGATGGTCACATCAACTAGGGCTGGGCCAGGTTGAAGCCAGGAGCTTCCTCTGGGTCTCCCACATGGGTGGCAGGGGCACAAGCACTTGGGCCATCTTCCACTGCTTTCCCAGGCACATCAGCAGGGAGCTGGATTGGAAGTGGAGTAGTCAGGACCCCAACCATTCACGCATATGGATTGCCGGCATCACAGTGGTTGGTTTTGCCCACTACACCACAATGCGAGCACCAGGGACTTCTTACTGTAGAGAAAAATCTGTGAATATGGACAGCTTTTTCCAGTGCTTATAATTCAGAGAGAAAACAAAAAAACCTTCAAATCACTAACAAATGAGGGAAGACTTTAATCACCCTTCACAACACTGGAAAAGTTTGCGCATACCATAGCATTCAATAAACATTGTTAAATGAATTACATGGATTGTATAGTTATACTTGGACAAATAACCTATTGCTTCATAATTAAATAAAATGTGGAACTGATAACCCCTGAAAATGGCTGTGATGGGAGCTGAAAATACAGGGAAAAATGGAATTACAATTTCTGTATAAACCATATTATAAGTGTGTTAAAACAGCTGATTAATATGTATGTCATAAAACTCTGTTGTAAGCAGATTTTCTAAGATGTCTTGATTTCAAAGGCAGAGTGACAGAGAGAGTGGGAGAGACAGAGACAGAGAGAGCCTCTATCCCATGGTTCATTCCCCAAATGCCCACAATAGCTAGGGCTGGGTCAAGCCATAGCCAGGACCCAGGTCTCCCATGTGGGAGGGAAGAACCCAAGCACGTGGACCATCATCTGCTGCTTCCCAGGTGCATTAGTGAGAAGCTGGGTCAGAAGCAGAGGCAGGACTCAACACCATGCCTTCTGATGTGGGATGTGGATATCCCAAGCAGCAACTTAATTTACTGTGCCACAATGCTTACCCCTGTGAATAGATATTCAAATCATGTGTACATTTCATTGCCATGGAAACACTTATCCTAATCATGTATATTATGGATAGAAATGTTTAGGACAGTTTATGCATAATTGTTCTTGTATGATTGTGTAACAAAAATTGGAATTCAGGAAATTTTTATGGAAACATGGGGCTTTTGTAAAAAGGATTTACTTATTTAAAAGGCAAAGTGATAGATCTTCTATCCACTAGTTCACTCCCCAAATGGCCACAACAACCAGGGCTGGGCCAGGCTGAAGCCAAGAGCCAGGAACTCCATCTTGGCTTCCCATGTGGTTAGTAGAGGCCCAAGTATTTGGGCCATTTTCTGCTGCCTTCCCAGGCACATTAGCAGGAAGGAAGCTGGATCGGAAGCAGAGCAGTCTGGGACTGGATCGGACACTCCAATATGGAATGCCAGTATTGCAAGTGGTGGCTTACCTCAACCCATTGTGCCACAAGGCTGGCACCATATAGTGATTTTTTTTTAACTTTTATTTAATGAATATAAATTTCCAAAGTACAGTTGATGGATTACAATGGCTTCCCCCTCCATAACGTCCCTCCCACCAGCAACCCTCCCCTTTCCCTCTCCCTCCCCTCTTCCATTCACATCAAGATTCATTTTCAATTCTCTTTATATACAGAAGATCAGTTTAGCATATATTAAGTAAAGATTTCAAAAGTTTGCACCCATATAGAAACACAAAGTGAAAAATACTGTTAGAGTACTAGTTATAGCATTAAATCACAATGTACAGCACATTAAGGACAGAGATCCTACATGGAGAGTAAGTGCACAGTGACTCCTGTTGTTGACTTAACAAATTGACACTCTTGTTTATGGCATCAGTAATTAAGAAGTAAATTCAGTAGTATCATTTTGCTTTCTTTAACATGATAAAGTCAACACTAACAGTCAATTTTTGTCTTTCTCCTGGGTCAAGTACTTGTGAGACAATGTTCTGAACACAACTTTGTTCAAACTCCCTTGAGTATTGCTTTTACAGTGCTGCTGTGGTGGCCATGGGGTATGGTAAAGGCGCTGTGGTTGGGGGAGTGGGGGTTACTCCTAACTACAATGAACCCTGTAAGAACTTTTGTGTTGAAATGCATACATCCATTTCTATGCCATTCTTTTCCAAAGAACTCTTGCAGACTTTCTGCTTTTTAAAGAGAGGAATAATAACAATTTGGATTACTGATCTCTGTAATTGCAACATTTTCACTAAGCATAATAATTATTTCCTTATAGACTCTTGAAGGCAGCAAATCTCTAGTTCACAACTATATTTCTATTCAGTAATTGAAATATTGTCAGTATTTGGTAGATATTTGTTTAATGAATGTATAAGTTTATAAAAAAAAAAGTCTCAGCCCCACAAGAGATGGTAGAAAAAGAATTGTGAAGAGGGTATAATAAAGGGAACATCTGAGATCCAGAGTCAGGCCATTTACTTCATGGCCTCTTCTCCCTACCCTGCCCAGCAGTGAATGAGCCAGCAATGATCTCACCTGTAGAACCTGCTGGGCTAGTCCTGTTGCAGGTGAGGTGAGTCTGACAACTCAGGTGAAACACAAAATACTTGGCTAAGTTTGCTTTCCCAATCCATCCGGTAAGCTAGATCGAATTATTCACCATGGAATTTGGCCAGTTATACTGAGATTATGGTATGTTGAGAAATCTGAACTTGGACAACTCATAAATAAAGCATAGGATCAGAGCCACTCCCTGTTGCTTCTGGGTGATTTTTGAATTTGTTTTGCAAACGAAAACAATTGCTTTGGAACTTGTGAGTTTTCTCGTGAACTACAGACTGATTCATTTTTGTAGATGTAAACTGTCATCAAATGCCTTTATTAAAATAGCTCTAATGTCTAAAATCTAAACAAAATACAGCACCTCTTGTTAATCATCAAAAAATTATGTGAGGTCCAGCGAAAGATACAAAATAAGATATAGTTTCTGGAGTTGTGGTTTTTAGTCAGATTTCAAGAGAAGTTCAAAGCCCTAACAAAGTGTTATCTTTCCTCCGTCAGCAGTAAAGTCAGACAGATTAACTCTTCCCTGTTTACAGTAGGAGGTCACCACGTACATTATCACATGTTCACACAGTATAACTAAACAAATTTTAATCTTCTCCTTTTTTCCTGATAAACAAAAATCATTTCAAGATCTTAATATTTGTGTGAAATTGTCAAGAACTGTTCTGGGTACTGTTGGTGAAAGTCTTCTAAAAACAAATGGGATTGATCTGAGTTCTTCATTTTCAAAACAGGTTCACCGTAGGATCTCAATGGCTGGACAATTCCCAGAGTATGTTACATTTTTGTTCACTGATTCACAACTCTTCAGGATTACACCAATTGATGAGGTTCAGGTACACACCCTATATTTGCTCTCCTCACTTCCTCAGATTGTCTTTAATGGTCCCTCCTTTCTACTCCTCACAACAGATGTCTTTTCCCTTTTGTGTGAAGGACACCACTTTCCAATAAGACTTCTGTTTATCTCGATATCATCTCCTCTATTATTGACCTCTCTGGAACATTTGTTTTCAGTTTCATGGGAATTTTTGCTCTGAAAGACAGTTGTTTCTTTTTGAAGATTTATTTTATTATTTACTTGAAAGGGAGAGATAGAGAGCAAGTTTCATTTGCTGGTTTACTTCAGCAACTGTTATAACAGTTGGGGCCAGGCCAGGTAGGAATCAGGAGCCAGGAACTTCTTTCTGGTCTCAAAGATGGGTGGCAGGAACCCAAATACTTGGGCCATCATCTGATGCCTCCCAGGTACATAAGCACAGAAAGTTGGATCAGAAGTAGAGGCTGGACTCAATCCTAAACCCTCCAATTTGGGATGTAGGCATCCCAAGTGGCAGCATAAGCCACTGTGCCACAACACTTTCCTTGCTGTAATGAGAAAGAGGGAGTGGTATGAAACTACAGCAGTAACTAAAAAAAGCCAGAGAAAACAAAGTTAATTCTGCAAACAGTGAGAGATGACAAAATGAACACTGAGTTGAAATCAGAAAACTTGGGGTTCCGTGCTGACCTCATGGCCTAGGAAGTCAGCGGGGAGCCTCTTCAGCATTTCAGTTTCTTCATCTTCATAATCAATGTGCTAATACTGGCCCTGGTTTTTTAAAATTTGCTAAGATCAAATCAGACTGCATGAAAGTATTCATTTGTAAGTTGTATGCTTTTGTATTCATCTGAGCATGGTTATTGATGATGCTGGCACCCATCTGCAAAGGAGGCATTCATGTACACCTGCTGTCTCCAGTCTTCTGTTTTTTCTTGAATGAACTGGGCTAATTCAGGAATGTTTAGGAGTTCATTCCTCAGAGTGTAGGGAATCCGTACCTAGGAACAACTCTACCTTCTTTAGTGTACCAGCTGTATTGGCTTGGTTGACGTTGACCAACTCATAAGCCCCACCTACACCTCCAGCTTCAGTATGCTTGTTGGTGAGAATCTGAATTCTGCTAGAATCTAGAGGGATGATAGCACTTTGGAGTTATATGAGCATCAGTTCAAATACAGACATTGTAATGAAATAGCCATGACACCTTGAAATTATCATTTAATTTCTCTGATGTGCCATTCCTAATTTAGACAGATTAGGCAACAACATCTTGCCTTGACCACCACAGTTGAAATGGTTTATTAGTTTGCTAGGGCTGCCATAACAAAGCACCACAACCTCAGTGGCTTAAAAATAGAAATTATTGTCTCACAACCTCAAAACCTAGAAATTGGTGATCAAGGGGTCAGCAGGGCAATGCTCCCTCTCCAGGACCCCCTCCTTGTTTCCAGTAATTTCTCAGTGTGTGCCAGAATAATTACAGGGTTCAGACAACATTCTCCTTGTGCATGCTTCCGTGGCGAAAATTCCCCTGTTTACAAGAATGTTGGATTAGTGACATTGGATTAGGGGATGAGTATGGAGTACAATATGACCTCATATTAACTTATTATATCTGCAATGACCCTATCTCCAAAAAGGTCGCAATCTGCAACATTAGGGATTAGGGCTTTAACGTATTGGATTTAGGAGGCATACAGTGCAACTGGTAACAAATGAAGTGAGAAAACTTGGAGGGTTTTAAGGCTTGGAAAACTTTATTCAAGAGCTGAGAGGTCAAAGAAACCTTGTTGTATGCCATACCTCATTACTCAGCCACCTTTTTCTATAATCATTGGTCTTTTTAAGAGACAATATGAATATATAGCTGTTATGGCTTTGAACTTCTCTTGAAATCAAAGTGGATCTGTCAATCGACTTTGAATGTGTTGACTTGTATTTGCTGATTCATTTTTTTAAAAAAATAAGGATAAAATAGGGGCTGGCGTTGTGGTGCAACAGGTTAAGCTGCTACCTGAAATGCCAACATCACATATGCATGCCAGTTCAAGTCCTGCTCCACTTCTGAACCAGATCCTTGGTAATGCTCCTTGGAAGGCAGCAGCAGATGGCTCAAGTGCTTGGACCATTGCCATCAACATGGGAGACCTGGTTGGAGTTTGGGGTTCCTGGCTTCAGCCTGGCCCAGCACAGGCCATTGCAGCCATTTAGAGAGTGAACCAATGGATTGAAAATCTCTCTCTCCCTCTCTCTCTCCCTCTCCCTCTCCCTCTCCCTCTCCCTTTCTCTCTCTCCATCTCTACCCCCTCTCACTATAATTCTACCTTTCAAATAAATAAAATAAATAATTAAAATGGATAAAGTACTATTGGCCTCTTTTGAAAGTTTACAATCAAAAGATTATAACAATCTGCTACTCATACAGATGTTAAAATACATACAGATGAAGATGAGGCAGATGCTGCACAAATGAGATACAGGCAAAACAGTCACAGAGAATTTGTTATATGCAGAGTTGAATCTTGGTGCCACATGAAGGTGAATAGGGTAGTAACTGAAAGAAAAATCATCTGGTTTCATAAAGACAAGTCTCCTGGAAGGAACTGAGGTGAATCTGCAGAAAGAGAAAACATGGGAAACTCAGAGGAAATCAAGCTGCTAAAATGGCATGACCTCCTCCAGGTGAGATATTAATGATTCTAGTTCTATTTGATTAGCAAAATCTAAAGCCTTGAATTTCTTTTTAATAATTCTTGGCCTTGAAAAATTAGTTGTGTTTTTAAGTTTTTGTTATTTTAAATTTTTTAATGTATGATTTCCCCAAATTATTTGGCAAAGAAAATTATAAATCCCCTTTAGGAATACATACATACATGGGGGAAATATCTATGTCCTTATCGTAGTTTTTTCATACAAATGAATGTCAAAATCTCTCCCAAAGCAATTTCCACTCCAACATAATCAAGTTAACAATTAAATCATTATTTCTTGAATATTACTATGCAGACACTGTGTCAGACATTGTTTGAATATATAAAACAAAGAAAAGAGTTGTTTCTTTACTTCAGAAATTGTTGAAGTATAGATGAATGCTGTATGTATACTCTGTCTTTACCAAAGAATGGGCTTAGTCTAGAGATTACCTCTGTCATTTAAAATGGATCAAAATTATTGGCCTCCATTACTACTCTATTACCTTGTGAGTTCCTTACTAGAAGGAATTACATCATTCCGAGATCAAACATTTCTTAAGGATTAAAAAGGAAAAAAATAAAGAGATAGAATGATCTAAACAGAATACGGTTCTATTGAAGTCCAGGAGCTAAAAGTAATCTCCACCCCAAATTTGGGTGTATAGAATTATCCAGATATTTCAGTGTTATTCTTTTAGAAATAAAAGAATTTAAAGACAAGCAGCCTAGCAATTAAAGTAAGACACACTTTGTGATTTCCCTGGGCTCATAGGCCTTGAATATGTTTATCAAATCTGTACTGGAACAATAAGTAAGCCTAGCATATGCTTAATGTTTTCAATAATTAGGTGAGTTAATAATAATTAAATGAAAGAAGGAATAAATGAATTAATGAATCCTGAAATAAGTTAGAGAAAGGTTGAATTTCACATCTCTCCTCTAGATGGCAAACTCATACCTCCTACAGTGTATTGCATTTCCTGTCTCCTCTAGAATTTTTTTCTCTAGAATTAACATATGAAAATTGTACTAAAAAAAAAACCCGTAGTTTAATGTCTATTGTAGTGTAGCAGTAAGCAACCATAAAATATTTTCTCCAAAAAGTGCTCCCCTTATTTTTATATCTTTAAGTTTCTTGTAAAAAAAGATTGTTTATAGAAAGTCATTAAGAAACATGATTGTGTAAGTACCATAAAAAAAGAATTGTGCAAGACATTTTTCAAAGCACTTGTGCAACACAGCTTTGAATACTCTCAGTTTTCATGGCCTTCTCCTAGGAAAACATTGTTTTGCCCAAAGTTCATTATTATTCTTGTAGGTTATTCATCCTCCACTAAATACAAAAGAAAGAAAGAAAGGAGGGGAGAGAGGAAAAAATTGTACTGAGCATGATGTTTTTAAACTAAAACCCAAATATACAAATATAGGCTGCTTTTGTTCCAAATTCACTATGACAGCAATAGACATATTTGATTAATAGCTGAATGCATTATCCTGTAAGCTGAAAGTAGAAAAATCAAATGAAACATATTAATCCAAGTACCTTGCTTTAATTTCCCTTCAAACCAGGATATAAATTGCCCTAATGATTTAAGTAATCTACCCGTCTTCACTTCCCAATGTGGTGACATAGTCCATATTTTTGTGTACAGGAAATATGGCTGGAAAATATCTTGGAGTATCATGAAAGCTGAAGAGAGAACTAAAATTATTCTAAGAACACATCAAACAGGAACAGCAAGATTTGAAGATGCCTGCCCCTCTTCCAAAAATAAGGGGAGGAGATAAGTAAAAAGAACAATGACATGTTATAGTCCAAGAGCTAAAATTAAATGCATGTAAACAATTCTTGTTGAAACTGGAAGCCAATGTAGATTACGCAAACCAGGTAGAGTCCTGCCAAAACATGCCAGGATAAGAGTCACCCACCATCGAAGCCTGGCTTGTGATAGAAGTGAGGCTAATGCTGGAAAACCACAGAGGATTCTGAACTTTCCTGGCAGCAATTAGATTCCACATTAAAGTATAATATATACCTAAACCCATATTTCTTCTTTATCCCACCCAGAAAGCTGAGAGTCAGCTGTTCAGATACAGGAAGCCAACTGAGAATTTTTAGTGTATATATAATTATTTCCCTAACACACATTTCTTGAACAACCACATTGGAGCAGCCCTTTAGCAGATGTCAATACTACAAAAATAAATAGGGCATGATCCTAGCCCTCAAAGGAGTGAAGAAGCCAGACATGTACACAAATAGCCATGTAAGAGAAATAAGAGGAGAGGAGGAGAAAGAAAGAAGCTCAATCCAAGCTGCAATACTATGTTAAGATGTGGTAGGGTCATCTGAAAATCCCTTGCCACGCTGGATTAATGGCAATTTATGTGATGATAATCCAGCCATAACTTGGATCAAGCTCATTTTTGCTGAATTTCTAATTAAATCTATATACCTGGATTTCTACTGCAACTATCTAGGTCATAGGAATAGATCTCAGGTAGATGGAAACACCTATAATGCCTTTCCAAATGCATTTTAGTCTTGTTTCAAAAGATCGTATTCAAATATATGCAACTCAGAAGAGTTATGGAAGAAAACACCATCCATTAGGTGAACAAATGACTCCTAAGTTTGCCATCAGGAGGCAACTATAAACCTTTATGTAAACCAGGGAACAAGTTAAAAATACATTAATACAAGAATGTAAGTGAATTATAGAATATCTTCACAATTTTTAAAGAATTAATTAACTTCGGCATAGAAAGATCTCCATAGGGGCAGGAATTTAGTCTAGTATTTAAGATGCTGCAGCCTATATTGCAGTACCTGGGTTCAACACCCACCTCTGGTTCCTCAGCCTAGCTTCCTGCTAATGCAGACCCTGAGAAACTGCAGTGATGGCTCAAGTAGTTGGGTTTCTGTCCCCGCTGTGGGGAAACCTGGATTGAGTTTCTGGCTCCTGGTTTGGTGTCACATCAGTCCTAGCCATCATGGGTGTTGAGGAATGAACCAACAGATGGGAGTTCTCTGTGTTTGGTTGTATCTCTATCTCTCAAGTAAATAAGTATTTTTTTGAAAAAGAAAATAAATATCTGCATATGTATATAGCTGAAAGAAAACAGCTAGGAAGAAATAACTTGTGCTATAGGATAACCATGTTATTTGATTGATGCAACTTAAATACAAATTCACTGTACCTCCAGAATTATACTCATATAAAGTGAATGGAGATTTACTTTTTTTGTTGTTGTTTTTGGGTGCTTGGATTGACTATTTTACCCACCAAAAGTTTTTTGTCTTGTAGTACACTCTAACAGTGTTTGAAGACTTGCAATAGTGTTCCTGAATGGTATTGGTTGTTTCAAACCCTTTCTCTGTAGCCACTTTTGCAAGTATTATCTTCATATTTAAAGCCTTAAATCTAATTAACCATGTATACTGTAAATTCAATTCAAAAAGAGAAAAGTGAATTTTAACCCAACATTTGTTATCAAAGGCATTTTTGCCCCATACCAGCCCAGTGCATATCTGTTACCATATCTCTTCCTTCCTTCCTTCCTTCCTTCCTTCCTTCCTTCCTTCCTTCCTTCCATCCTCTCTCTCTCTCTCTCTCTCTCTCTCCCACCACTCTGGTTTTCCTTTTTCTTTACTCTTCATTACGTGAAAGGAGAGAGAAAGGGAGTTAATGGAAGGGTGCTCCAGAAAAGAGAAGAAAATGTATTGACCATTCCTTCCATTAGCAGGAACTGAAAGTTGTGTGTTAACTGTAGTTTTCACATTTATAATTAAGTCAACAACCTAGGGGTCTGTTCTGTAGTATCTCCTTCATTGTGACTGCCACAATTTTCCCTTTTAGTCAAAAAATCCTCTTTGTTTAAGTTCATATCTACAATGACTCAGGACTTTCAGACGTGGTCATGACCTTCTCTCCTTCTAGGAAAATTTATAAAGATGATAAGCAAGAATCTCACTTCTATGAACCAAACTCTTCTCTAGAAATGAGGCAGGATGCCACACAAAGAAAGCCAGGATGTGGTGCTCAGTCCTGCATCTTGTATCTGCCAGTGATCTTTCACAAAGTGACACAAGAAAGTAGGCAGAAAAGCAGCCAGTACCTTGGTGTCAGTGTCCCACAAGCAGAACAGGTGCATCCACCCCCTCCTGGCGCCACAGACCAAGCTAGACACACCCAGACGTTCCTGCTCAAAGGGCTGGCAGGGCTGGTCTGAATTCATGTCAAAGGAGGCTTATTGCCATGGGGATGGGCGAAAACGATGTTTGGCACCAATCAACATATGCATGATTACTCACCAAGGAAAATAAAGAAGAAAAGCAAACATGGGCACCTCTATCTATACAAATCTTTTGAAAGGGTTTGAGGTTAAGAAACTACAACTGAGAGAATGGTACTAATTCAGTAAGTATAAAATAACTACCGGACATATCTAATTCAATTTTCTAGTTCCAGCAGAACTACAATGATGAACCAGCAAAACATAATTTGAGCTGCCTTCAGTATCACTTATTGGTTTACTGTAAATATATTGTATTTAAAAATATATAAGACTAAATAAAAATAACAACACAGCAACAATGGTAATTATTTTAGTTGCAATGTATTAGGTATCCATTAGATGACAGATTGTTTGCTATATGTAGCTATATAAGTTAATCTTCATAACAGACTTGTGAAGCAGCTTTTATCACATTCATTTAACAGATAAAAGCATTACATCAAATCTAAAATATCTTTCCCCAAAATGCCAGCTAAAACAGTAAAGCCATAATCAAACATCAGTTGAATTATTTTTGCTATACCAGCAGTCAAAAAATGGTTACCCTTGTGTCAAATCTGTACTGTTTGTTGCTTGGTTTTCTGTAGCTTCATTGGAACAAAGACACTCTCATCCATCTACTGGTTGCTTTGGTGCCACAAAAGCAGAATTGAGTGGTTGTGACAGAAACCATGGCCTACAGAGGCTTAACAATGTACCATATGGCCCTGTATAAAACGTTTGTCAATCCTACACTGAAGTATGACAATTCTAAATGGTTAAATGTAGCAAGTACTTTCAGAGAATTATGAAATTCTAAGGAATAGGTGTTTGGTACAATCAATTTTTTGTTAACAGATGCCATTAGACACTCTGTCCATGTATAATGCTTTATTTCATTCCTTAAAAACTGAATTGAGGGGCCGGCGCCGTGGCTCACTTGGTTAATCCTCCGCCTGCTGCGCTGGCATCCCATATGGGAGCTGAGTTCTAGTCCCGGTTGCTCCTCTTCCAGTCCAGCTCTCTGCTGTGGGCCAGGAAGGCAGTGGAGGATGGCCCAAGTGCTTGGGCCCCTGCACCTGCATCGGAGACCAGGAGGAAGCACCTGGCTCCTGGCTTCTGATCGGCGTAACTCCAGCCGTTGCGGCCATTTGGGGGATGAACCAACATAAGGAAGATCTTTCTCTCTGTCTGTCTCTCTCTCTCTCTCTCTCACTGTCTAACTCTATCTGTCAAAAAAAAAAAAAAAAAAAACTGAATTGAAGAAAGAATATTTGCTTTTTGGAAGAAGAATCTGAATTTTATTGATTGTTCCTCTCAATTATTTTCCAAACCTACCTCCAGGTTTTCCTCACCTTAATTTCTCACAGAATGTCTCACCACAGTAAGTATTTAAAAGAGGAGCACATTGGAAATGTAGTACTATGGCTTCATAAAATTTCCATTCCAATTTCAGAGTCTGACACTCTGCCACAGAGGAACTCCAGAAAAGATGTGCTATATCTCAGGATTTTATTAGTGTAGGCTTTTCAGATTGATGCAAGCCTACATAAATGAATTTATAGACCAGAATAATATAATTTTAATATGGAATGCACATTTGGTAATAACAAAATAAGAACCAGATATTTCAAATAACCTTCTCTTATCCATTCTATCACATGCCACATCTGTATACTATTGACTGGCTTCTAGATATTCATTAATTTCATGTCCTTTATCAAGGCAATACCTTTGATAGAAAGAGTTTGGTTGGGGAACCAAACAGATGTGGGTTCAAACCCTGCTTGGGCACTTAACTTCTTGCTTGATGTGGAAAAGTCAGTAAACCATTTTTTTAAAAGATTTATTTATTTATTTATTTATTTGAAAAGCAGAGTTACGAGGAGGCAGAGGCAGAGACGTCTCCATCCGCTGGTTCGCTCCCCAAATGGTCACAACGACCGGAGCTGGGCTGATTCAAAGCCAGGATCCAGGAGTTTCTTCTGGATCTCCTATGCAGGTGCAGGGGCCAAAGGACTTGGGCCATCTTCCTCTGCTTTCCTAGGCCATAGCAGAGAGCTGGATCAGAAGTGGAGCACTGAGAGTCGAACCAGCATTCATATGGGTTGCCGGCACTGCAGGCAGCAGCTTTACCTACTATGCCACAGCACCAGCCCCAGTAAACCACTTTAAGCCTTGGCATAATATAAATAAAATATAGATGATTGCTCCTTAATTATAAGAAAGATGAGATTTGTCTCACATGCAGTGCCCAACAAAGCACTTGACATAATAGTAGGAATTATGTCACTATATGACAAACACTACTGTATCACCTCAGTGTCCTCTTGAACCAAAGTCAGCAGGTGTTGATTGCTAGTATATCACTGTTCAAGT